ATCCTGCAGTAATGCAACAAGTTGTACAAACTAATATAATGGGTGTGGTTTATTGTACGCAACGCGCTTTCAAATCAATGAAAGAATGCAATTTTGATGGACATGTGGTGATCGTTAATAGCGTAGTGGGCCACTCGGTACCACATTGGCCGTTTGATGAACCGCCAATTATGAATGTGTATGCGCCGACTAAATATGCACTAACCGCTATTACTGAGATATATCGGCAAGAGTTTAGAGGATTGGAGACAAAAATCAAAATAACTGTGAGTATTAAAATGACACCAAACATGATCAACTGTTCAATGTTTAGTGTTCATTTGTTATTTGGCATTTGTATGTTATTCAACACAATTATTATATACGCTTACTCCTGGCTGTTTACAAAGTTTATGAGATAATTATGGTCATTTAATGCGCAAGCATACATACAAACATTCATACATACATATGTATGTACATTAGGCCGTACCGCCTTACAAGCAAAAAAACATTTTTTTGCCGAACCTTGCGGTCGCCTATTTACATTCTTCGGTGATACATACTTACATTCGCCAAGAATTTTACTTATTTTTTCAAAATACATAGCTCTCCTGGAATAATCGAAATAATTCCTCAGTAAAAGTTTAATGACTTTAATTTACTGACATTAGGGTGGTACGTTAGGGCGATAAGGGCTGAGATCTGGTGGATTGATACAAGAACGGGGTGCTTGAGGTCAATGAACTCTGCAATTAACACAAGAACATCGATATATCATACTTTAAGATTCGACTGTAAATGGCGAAGATATAAGGACCCTTTTTCGAAATTGCCTTGCAACAAGTAATTTTTAGCAAAAAAAACCGACTTCAACTCTCATATAAAAAAAAAATATATATACATATATCTCATGATCCACTGATCGGATCTTAACCAGATTAGTATGGGACTACCACCTCCTCCTTTTTTGGAAGTCGGTTAAAAATGCTTAAGATTCGAAGTTGCATGGCGAATGTTTTTTTCTGGTACAGTCTAATGTACATACATATGTACATATCAGCATGCAAATTTATGTATGTAAAGATGCATGTATGAATGCAAGTTCATTTAAACAAAGTGGTTATTTATAATTTCAGAGCGTTAGCCCCGGTTTAACAGATACAGAAATCGTTCCGGATCAATTCAAAAACGCTGGACTTCCAATTCTGAGATCAGAAGATATTTCCAGCTGCATCTTGTTCACTCTTTCTACACCGCCACACATGCAAATACAGGAGATTACTGTGATACCAACACTGGGCGGGTAATTAAATATTTTAGCTTATGTTTCACACACATATGTACATATATTAAATATCAATATTTATATGTACATGCATTTAAGTATATTTGTATGTATGTAGATATTGTATTTCCACTCTTATGTTTTATTTAAATATCTATACGATGAAATAAAAATCATTGGAATATTAACAAATAGATTAAGATACACGCTCAGCACTTTTATGCCCAAGTACACGTGTAAAGAGGTCTATGTTAGGGCAAAACCGAACATTAATTACACAGCGCACGTACATCGTAAATATAAGTAGGCTTCTCACCTTTGTGTAAGCTACTGCTATATGGTAAGCAGCGGTGGTCTTACCCTTATTTCACACACTTTCAATAATATGCATAAATGTTGCCATGGTGACTGCTCATGTGGCAGCTCGGCTTGGCAGGTATTAATCGAGTCCCTCGGGGCCTCAATTAGTCCAGGTCTGCTATCTGGAAGTGCTTAAGGAAGTGTGATCCGTACCATCCACCCAGCCGCAGCTAGGGGGGTAACACGGTCATGTTTCTGTTTCTCTACCTATAAACTGGATCATGCGGGACGTCGACGCTCGTCATAAAACGTTTTCCCGAAACCAAAGTGGAACAGCGTGCGCCAAGGGATGCATGGTTAGGGGCTACCTAGTCGCTACTATGCGGACTTGGGGTGCACGGGCGCGGTCCTATTTTAACAAATGCCTTACTGCGCTAAGTGGCTCTGGAGCAGCGGAACGAGTGACCCCAATACTCGTGGGAATAACAAGAACACTAATAATAATAGTGAAAAAATATAATGAAACTGGCGTAAGCGGCCACGATGGCTTCAAAGAGCTGCTTACCCCTCAAGAGACACTGGCGCAAGCCAATCTGATCCACAGACAGCACCTGCTGACAAAAAAGAAGGGCCCATTGAGGCACACAAAAAGCTCAGAGGAACTGGCAAGAAGAGCTACCAACACCTCCAAAAGGCTGAACGTAGGAGAAGCGTATGTCTGATGCTGGCCCCAAAAAGCGGCCGATGCACGAAGAACCATCGTCATCGAGGGCTGCACTTTCTGCGAAACTTAAGAGACAGACCTCTGTCTCATTTAAGGATGTTTACTGTAGGGGTGAAGATGGAAGTGCTTGCGAGGGGAAAATACTGGCTGATAAAAACCGATAAAAGCAACATTCTTGGCTTCTGTATACGAGGCAGGATATCTTGTACTGCACTGTGAGCAGAACTTGAGTGAAGAGTGGGTTAGGGCGACCATGGTCCCCTTGATACCCTGGGGAGGTGTTGCACTGTGGGCTACAGAGGAATCCAAAATTTCTCATTCCAGCGTCGCAGTGGGCTACTTTCCAAACTCCATTGGCATGGAAACCAATAAGTTACTGAATTTTGTACAGAGGCAGAACAGCGGTCCCAACGTCGGATCTTGGCGCAATTTAAAGAGAGCCGAGAGGGGCTATAACTTGCTACTGGTCTTGGCGGTGTTTTTTTGTTCTTATAGCGGCTTAATAAACCATGTCTAAGTCAATGAATCAACTGCGGGTACATTCTTTATTCTTATCTACCGGCAGGCCCCGTAAAAGACCAAATCCGACTGGTTTGGGCGTAAGAAGGTGGATGTTAGATGAGCTGATGTGAGTGGGTATATAAAGAGGTGGTTAGTGTCGTCGGGCATCTTATTCAAATTAGACTGACGAGTGTATTAATATTATTATTGTTTGGGGTAAAGTACTGCGACCCCAAGATCTATTGGGCCCCTTTAATGGATTTCTAGTGCGTCTATTAACCCAGTATCCGAGAGAATCTTTAGTATGGAGCCTAAATCTACGGGGTTCACTTTGCGATCGGTTATTAAGTGTTCCCGCAGGTGTCCTTTGCGTTTGTGAATCAGTGCAGGATACCCTCCTAACTTTTGCTGCGCAGTCTCGCTCCTGCGAGTAAATACCCAATTTCGTCAGGTGATAGGTTAGCCTGTAATGTCCTTTCAGGGTGTGTGTAATAATTCTTAAGCTATGCTTGCATAAGTTCATGCATTCCTTAAAGCGTTTGAGGTTATATGTTCCTAAAAGTACTTTGAATTGCTCTAGACCTGGGTCAGAGCAAAAAACGCTACAGAGGGGCTCTGGACCGATACAAGGGGTTGATGTTTCTTTCTTCGTCTTCGATGTTCTGAAAAGCCCATATAGCTGTCTAATTATTTCTAAGCTATACTGGGCGGTTTCAGTGGAGCGGCCGGCCATATATGTATGCGTGCTGACACGAGTTCAGTGCATTAGCGCCCACAAGGGGTGGGTTCTAGGGTTCAAACCCCCCCTAAAGCTAATAACCTCAAATACAAACTGTATCTTAAAGCTAAGAATCCAGCTCTCAAGGAAATCATAAGAAATATTTATTATAATTTCTGTTGCTTGGAAAAAGCGCTTTGCTTTTGCTGTAAATTTTCATGAGAAAATAAATATACGACCATTTTTTTCTTGAGATCTGCAAACTGGTTTAAGAATTTTTGGTAGAAGAAAATTCATTTCTTGTCCGTCGTTTTATATGAATTTTTCGTTTTTCTTGAGAGTTCAGTTAATTTTTTCGGTATTCGAAATATTAAAAAAATGTGGCAATCGTGAAAAATCACCATCACTATCGAAAATCAGAAACCAGAAATCGAAAAAATGAACATAAAAATGTAAAAATTTCATGGAATCAATAAATTTATGTTTACTGACTCTTTTTTAAAATTTGTTATTATGTACTTTTAAAAGTTGAGCGCATCTTGAGTTAATGGAACTTTTTATTAAACAAGTAGTTTTTAAGGAAAGGACACAACCGACTTCAATTCTCACATACAAATTTAGGAGTACCGTTAATTTCTTCATGATCCAATCATCGGATCTAAACCAAATTACGGGACGACCCTTGAGGTACCATCTTTCCAATAAAAAAAGAATTATTGAAATCGGTTCACGGGGTCCAAAGTTATGTATTCCGACGGATTGATAACCTCCCCTTTTTTTGAAGTCGGTTAAAAATGTTTGAGTTCTGTTAATCTTATGTAAATAAAGTGCAGTTTATGAATTTTAAAACGTTTATTTATTTATCACATACTGTACATAAAACTTGCATAAATGTATTTTAAAGAGCGTATTATCTGAAGCGAATTTTCAGTATATTCCGGTGATATATCTTCAGAAATATAAACCCCCACCCCCCCTAAAATATATTCCTGGGTGCGCCAGGATTGGCTAGCCCAATTCCAAAAGTGCTATAGTTATTGAGAGGAGTGTATTTTTATAGTCGGTGTGGTTCAGCGGATGGTGTATTCTCATTCCCAAGACAGTCGGTTCTACATGTTCGAGCATTTCTTGACAAAGGCTAATTTTCACTATCTAAAATTTTCACGCTAAAAATTGTCGACATATGTACTTTGACATAATTTTATTTCCTTTACTCATAATTCCTCCTCATGAAGAACCACCAAGTTTCCGCGACCGAAACGATCATTGTAATAAACCTCTATTCGAATACAGGTCTTCTTTAATCGACGTATTGCCACGAAACCTCTCAAGGTCCTTTGGCTGAATGCCATTTAGGTCCTGTCTTTCTATATAGGTATGGTGATCCTTAAAAGCGAAGTCTGGTCCTAGAAAGGGCTTCACGGTAGCACATAATGTGCTCTGCTCTTTCGTGTTCTTTGCTGCACAACCTACAAACATTATTTGCATTGTCTACGCGAATATGATTTTTGGTGGTTTTAAGGTTGAAGCACTTGACTTTTTTTGATTTAAAAGCAACTGTTATTTTATATACATAAGTGTACTACTTAACATTTCATTAGATAATTTGTTATGCTTTTAAATTGCTTACCAGGTACAATTGAAAAGATTCTTTCTTTCTCAGCGCTTGGAGTGGTTAACGTCAGAAAAATTTCAAAATTGTCCTTATAAATTTTAATACTTATACATAATTTTACTCCACATCACATTTTCAGAACGATTATTTCCGTAAGAGTGACGAATATTCTTGAATTTTTGTGTTAAATGAAAATCCATTTTTTATTTGAAATGCCCCTTTTTCCCTTTTAATAATTTTTCTTGCAAAATATCCCCCAAATAAGGAAATTACCCACAATCTGGCATCACTGCACTGGTTATAATGTGATATTTCTCTCTGATGTGGAGATGTGGTGATCTCCGATATAGCAGCTATTACTTTTACCACTTTGACTTTGTTGCTTTTTCCATGTGCCATTCGAGAGATCCGAGTTCGAGTCCTCGGGCAGCGGAATAATTTTAATTTTTTTTTAAGTTTAAACATTTTTCTCTTTTACTTAAACTTACTTTAAATTTTTTAATTTTACTGTTTAAAAAAGTAAAATATATATATTTTTTTTAATTTTTAGAAATTAAATTTATTCTTTCTTTATTTAATTTTCTTTCTGTTCTTAGAAGTTGCTTTAAAAGGAAGGATATTTTTTAATTTAATAAAATTTTTAGGAACTTGGTTTATTATTTTGTTTTAAATTTTTTTTTTTTGGTTTTTCTTTTATTTTTAGATTTTATTGTTAAAAAAATAAATAAATTTTTTCGTTTTATATTATTTTGAATTTAAATTTTTAGATTTTCTTGTTTAAAAGAAACAAAAATTCTTTATTCAGGTAATCTAATTTTTGGGATCTCATTTTATTTTTAAGTTGCTTTTTTTTGTCTTTTTTAATTTAGTGATCTTTTAATTTGTAGATATTGTTTTAAAAATCAAATTATTATTTTTTTTTAATTTAGAAAATTGTTGGTGCTATTTTCTCCTAGTTTGGTTTCAGTTTTTATTTTTCTAATTTAAATTCAGCATTTTATTGTTTAATTTTATTTTAGATTTTAAAATATTTGAATTAAAATTTGTTTTTTTTTCAGTTGTTTTCTTTTTTTAGTTTAATTTCTTTTATTGATTAGTTGTTATTGTTTTACAAAGAAAAATATATCAACTTTTTTAAAATTAAATTTATACTTTTATTATTTAAATTAAATTAAATTTATTTCCTAGAAAACATTTTGCTTAAAGCGAACATTGTAACGTTTGTTTCTCGAAAGACTGTGGTGAGTTGAAAAACAGTTGCCAGAATTGCCCTGTAAAAGCGCAAACAGTCAACGACGTAACGTAAGCATACGTTGGCGTACGTAGCAACATATAAAATTTACTGTGGAGAGAGAGAGAGACAGAGAGAGAAGCAATGGCAACGTCAGCGTCATGCGGTGGTGAGTATTCGTTAACGCGCGAATCCCATAAGGTAGATCGTGTCTGCGTCAACCTACGTCTACGCTTCGTCGTTGACTGTTGGAACCTTAAAAGCGCAAACATAAATTTTATATGCTGCTACGTACGTCAACCTACATTTACGCTACGTCGTTGACTAACTGAGCTTTAAGTTTCTCTTATACTAGCTCCGGCATTTTCTAAATAATTTATTCACCACGCTTCTCATAAAAGATTCAAAGGTGTTCTCTTAAACGTTCACGCCTTGCCCACGATTCTCTATTCCAAGGTACATTAATATGTATGTATGTATCAGTATAGGAATCTAGAAGAACCACTTTAAATTACTAGATAAATATATGTACATATACATATGTATGTATTTAGCTGTAAGCCATAAGTCATCAAAGATCACAAAGTTCTTTCAGTATTGCACTTTCGATTAAAAGCGTAAGTACTGTGTTAAACTTTTCTGCGACCCTCCTCACCAACTCAAGTGAAATCATAATGGAACGCTGGCAAGGTCGTGTCGCTGTAGTTACTGGTGCTAGTTCAGGCATTGGCGCTGCCACAGTCAAAGATTTACTTAAAGCTAATCTTGTTGTGGTGGGACTTGCCCGCCGACTGCAGCTGATGGAAGAATATAAAGCTGAATTGCCAGCTGAACAACAAAAACGTTTCCATCCTTTCGTTTGCGATGTTTCATCACAAGAATCGGTGGATAAGGCGTTCGATTGGATCATCAAAGAATTGGGTGGCGTTGATATATTGGTGAATAATGCCGGCATGTTTAAAGTGGGTCAAGCCGTTAACTTGGATCCTGCAGTAATGCAACAAGTTGTACAAACTAATATAATGGGTGTGGTATATTGTACGCAACGCGCTTTCAAATCAATGAAAGAACGCAATTTTGATGGACATGTGGTGATCGTCAATAGCGTTTTGGGTCACTCGGTGCCGAATTTTTCGGGTGATGCTGCGCCAATCATGAATGTGTATGCGCCGACTAAGTATGCACTAACTGCTATTACTGAGATATATCGGCAAGAGTTTAGAGGATTGGAAACAAAAATCAAAATAACTGTGAGTATTAAAACGGCAACAAACATGACCAACTGTTCAATTTTTAGTGATGACTTGCAAATTGGTATTTGTATATTATTCAATACATCATATATCATATATATGTACGCTTTGCAAAGTTGATAAGATAATTCTGGTCAAGCATATATACTTATGTACATTCACACATACGTAGGTACATTAGACTCTACCACCTCAACACAAGTACATCGATATCAATCGTGCATCGATATATCGTACTTTAAGATCCGACTGTAAATGCCGATACGTTCGGCCAAAAAGAAATAACATGTTTCTCAACATTGCCTTTCAAAAATTCTTAAGATTCGAAGGTGCACGGCGCACAGTGGTCGGGGAAACCATGATTTACGCGAGAAAGGCATACATTACAACTGTAAGAAATGTCTAACAAACTCAAAACAGATTAGTGCTTTCAATAATAACTGCTGAGAAAGCCGGTGAATCCGTTTAATTCAACGGATTCTATCGTGACACGTTCTAACAGTTATGAGTTGATAAATTTCTTAAAAATTTTTTTATGGAAACTTTCAATTATAACTGTAATTTATGGTTTGGACTTACTTCTTAAACACGGAAAATAATGATCACATATGAAATATTACATCATAAATCTTGGTAGCTAAATTATCAACACCTTAATAACACGGCTTATTTTTCAAGAAATATTTTCTTCAAAAAGATATAAATAATTTGTAGGGCCGAGTAGAATCTTCATTCCTTTACTAAAAACTAATGCAAAGGTCACATTAAGCATCTACGAAAAGAAAAGCCGCGCATACTCGCGCCAAAAGGAGTGGCGGCCATATTTATTTCACTAGACCGACTTTAGCAGTTTTTCCAAATAACATAAAGTGTACTAAAAATTAATGTAATTTATTCTACATTTGGCATCATATCATTTATAAGTAAATTTTCAAAAATCCAAAAACGAGTCCAATATGGCTTCTAAGAATTAAAAAAATTACTTAATTTTCATGAAATTTGGTATTTAAGAGTTCTTGAGTACGCTTATTACAAATTACAAACTAGTTTTAGAAAATTCAAAATGCAAAGTCCAATATAGCATCCAAGATAGCGTCCGAAATTTGTAAGAATTCAAACCTGAAGAACTTTATTCAAAAATGAGAAAACTGAAGTTTTGGAAATGAAGAGTTTCATATAAAGTAAAAAAAATCTTAAAAAAACCCTGTTAGGGCCTAGATCAAATTGTTTGGGCTGAACAAATAGCAGACGGCCCCAACTATCCCTAAGTAATTACTGTTATTATTTCGAAATTTGATTATAAATTCATTTTAGGTATGTTTCCTCGTATATATGTATATAATATATAAAATTTTGCTAAACAAACATTTTGTGTTATTCAAATCAAAATGACAGTTGATTTGACAGTTGTCAAACGAAAAAGTTTAAATGTGATACATAACTCGAGACCAGTGAGTCTTAAAACATAATAAGTACGTTTAATTCGTGGGCAATTTTTCTTAGTCCTAAAAAATTTGACAGCCTCTTCGACAGTCATAAATTCTTAACGTTTTAATTGTGACACACAATTCGCGATTAGCATGTCTAAAACACTATTCAGTGGTGTATTGCATTTTGAAAAATACTGTTTTATTTTTAGAAAAAATCACAGTTCATTTGACAGCTGTCAACTGTCAGGGTTTCTATTTGATCAGTATGTCAAAAAACGTAATCAGTGGTATTTTCAAAAAGATTTTCTTAATTTTAGAGAAATTGGCAGTTGATTTGACAGCTGCCAACCGTCAAACTTAAAATTTTATGGCTTATTCGGATTTAGCATTACAACAATACTACGATCCTGTGGTTTTATTATAGTTGTAACAGCCCTTCTATTTTTTCGCGTAAAACATGGCTTCTCCGACCACTGTGCGGCGAACTTGTTTTTTGCTGGTAATGTACATATGTATTCGCATACAGTTTTTATATGTAGGCATATATTTGTGCATGAAAGCATCGTCATATTTTAATTGATTATTTATAATTTCAGAGCGTTAGCCCCGGTTTAACAGATACAGAAATCGTTCCGGATCAATTCAAAAACGCTGGACTTCCAATTCTGAGATCAGAAGATGTTTCCAGCTGTATATTGTTCACTCTTTCAACACCGCCACACGTGCAAGTACACGAGATTACTGTGTTGCCAACACTGGGCCAGTAATTAAATATTTTAGCATATGCTATACATACATACATATGCATATATGTATATTAATTATCAACATACATGTATGCACATACATACACTTAAGTATATTTGTATGTATGTATGTGTATTCATATGTATGTATATGTTTTGTTTTTACTCTTATATTATAGTTAATAACTATGCAATGAAATAAAAATACATGGGAATGCTAATGGCATTGTCATTGGAAATCCATTATAAAAAACGTTTTGTGTTACTTAATGTCGCATATTTTTTTTTTTTCAAAACAATAGCAAATGACTCGGAGCTTCCTGTTTGTTGGGTAACGTAAAAAAACTATTTAACGAATTAATTACGAAAAAACGGCCAGACACAGGCATCTTTTTTATACCCTACTTTCAGAGTATATGTTTGTACATCTGTGGTCGTAAGCAATAACCGCCTAAGTCGACTTAAGAAAGAATTGAGTTATATATGCTATCGTTTTCTGCAACTACTATTCCATGTGCATATGAAACTCCCATATCGTTAGCTAGACTATTTTAAAAGTTATAGATGAAAATATTTTGGTTTCCCCATATGGTTAATATTACAATCCAAATTTTTAAAACGTTTTTTTCGAATTCAGGTTTTTCGACGTAGGCGATTATTGCTTATGACTGCAGATATGTAGGCCTTGCTCATGCGTGCAAACACGTGCCGGTCGGGGTTATAAGCAATTGTAAAAAAAAATACAAAAACAACAAGTTAAGGCCACCAGTATGCAGTTCTCGAAAAAACGGTCAAGAAAAAATTGCAATTATTTTGTGTATGTGTCCAAGGAATTTCGACATCTAATACGTCACAGCCTGTTGCCTCGCTCTTTCCTCAAGAAATAATAGAACG